CAAAAGACTTCTCAACAGCTTCTACCCCCAAGCCATAAGACTCCTGAACAGCTAATCATGGCTACCCAGACTATTTGCACTGCCCCCCCACCCCATCCTTTTACGCTGCTGCTACTCTGTTAATTATTTATGCATAGTCACTTTAACTCTACCCACATGTACATATTACTTCAACTACCTCAACTAGCCGGTGCCCCCGCACATTGACTCTGCACCGGTACCCCCCTGTATATATAGCCTCCCTACTGTTATTTTATTTTACTTCTGTTCTTTTTTTCTCAACACTTTTTTTTTTGTTTTATTTTTAATTTTTTTGTTAAAAAGAAATGCACTGTTGGTTAAGGGCTGTAAGTAAGCATTTCACTGTAATGTCTGCACCTGTTGTATTCGGCGCATGTGGCCAATAAAATTTGATTTGATTTGATTTGAGTTTAGTTTTTATCAAAAAGTTCTATTTTGGTTTCATCTGACCATATGACATTCTCCCAATCCTCTTCTGGATCATCCAAATGCACTCTAGCAAACTTCAGACGGGCCTGGACATGTACTGGCTTAAGCAGGGGGACACGTCTGGCACTGCAGGATTTGAGTCCCTGGCGGCGTAGTGTGTTACTGATGGTAGGCTTTGTTACTTTGATCCCAGCTCTCTGCAGGTCATTCACTAGGTCCCCCCGTGTGGTTCTGGGATTTTTGCTCACCGTTCTTGTGATCATTTTGACCCCACGGGGTGAGATCTTGCGTGGAGCCCCAGATCGAGGGATGTCTTGTATGTCTTCCATTTCCTAATAATTGCTCCCACAGTTGATTTCTTCAAACCAAGCTGCTTACCTATTGCAGATTCAGTCTTCCCAACCTGGTGCAGGTCTACAATTTTGTTTCTGGTGTCCTTTGACAGCTCTTTGGTCTTGGCCATAGTGGAGTTTGGAGTGTGACTGTTTGAGGTTGTGGACAGGTGTCTTTTATACTGATAACAAGTTCAAACAGGTGCCATTAATACAGGTAACGAGTGGAGGACAGAGGAGCCTCTTAAAGAAGAAGTTACAGGTCTGTGAGAGCCAGAAATCTTGCTTGTTTGTAGGTGACCAAATACTTATTTTCCACCATAATTTGCAAATAAATTCATTAAAAATCCTACAATGTGATTTTCTGGATTTTCTTTTCTCATTTTGTCTGTCATAGTTGACGTGTACCTATGATGAAAATTACAGGCCTCTCTCATCTTTTTAAGTGGGAGAACTTGCACAATTGGTGGCTGACTAAATACTTTTTTCCCCCACTGTATACCTGCTGGAGCGCATACTACGGGTGGGTGTTGCTATGGTGACCAATGAGCTAAAATAAGGCAGGGATTTGCCTAGCAGTGATTTATAGATGACCTGGAGCTGAGTAGAGTGTTGGAGGCTATTTTGTAAATGACATCGCCGAAGTCAAGGATCGGTAGGATAGTCAGTTTTACGAGGGCATGTTTGGCAGCATGAGTGAAGGAGGCTTTGTTGCGAAATAGGAAGCCGATTCTAGATCTAACTTTTGATTGGAGATGCTTAATGTGAGTCTGGAAGGAGAGTTTACAGTCTAACCAGACACCTAGGTATTTGTAGTTGGCCACATACTCTAGGTCAGACCCGCCAAGAGTAGTGAATCTAGTCGGGTGGGCAGCAGCGTTCGGTTGAAGAGCATGCATTTAGTTTTACTAGTGTTTAAGAGCAGTTGGAGGCTACGGAAGGAGTGTTGTATGGTGTTTAAGCTCATTTGGAGGTTTGTTAACACAGTGTCCAATGAAGGGCCAGATGTATACAAAATGGTGTCGTTCGTATAGAGGTGGATCCGAGCGTCACCAGCAGCAAGAGCGACATCATTGATATACACAGAGAATAGAGTCGGAGTTGGAGGGATGGAGTTTTTGCCTTCCATGGTGACATCCCCATGCGGTAAATTAGTTAATAGACCAATAAGAAAGCGAGTTCCAAACCTCTCTGCCAATAACAGCTAATTTTCAGTTTTCCCTTACTCTCTTAAACAACTCCCAGACAGTCCAAAATTATTGCTTGAGAAATGTCCGTATTCTAAGAAGCATTTTTATTTTTCTAACATTTTTATTGAAAACAATCACAGTAAGGTACTTATTGTTACCCAGAAATGATTTCATATTGAGATAAGACGGCTGCATTTAACTAATTTAGGAATTGGAAGGTGGGGGAGCCCTATTTGGGGGAATTAGTATTAGGATTGAGTCAGGGCTGAACGTAAGGCTAGGGTTGTAGTTAAACCGAGATGTGGACATGAAGCTAGGGTTAGGGTTGCAAAGCTGCACAGCTACCAGTAATTTACCAAAGTTACCGGAATCTTCAGTAATTTTGCTAATTAAAGGAAAATATATGGCAATCTATAGTAACTTTGGTAATTGATTCATATGTAGTATTAATTTATTATATCTGTGTCCATATTGTCCATGACTTTCTAGTAGATAGACAATATGGTTCAAAAGAAACTAGCCTAATTAATGAAAAAAAAGCAACTAATCAACAATGGCATTATTTTTAATTAACTCTGCAACTCTTCCAAATATTGACTTTTTTCCCAACTGCCGCTAGTATGACGCCAAAACATTAACAAATACATATTGACATAGTAAAATAAATACGTTTGTAAAAAATAAATACAAAAATAGATAGATGCTGACATCTAAGTAACATAATAAAAAAATTCACAGCAAAATCCATCAATTTAGGCTAGAGATATCAATCCACCGCATCTGCCTATGTCGCACTTCCGCATCTGCGGTGAAAGCTGGCAAAGCTAGAGCGTGTTTGTCAGACCATGAGACATCCCGAAAATCGGTCTTCTCACAAAAACGTCTGTAGTGTCCAAACGGTTTAACCTACAAACTCTATGGAAAGGGGTGATGCTCACGAACACGATGGTGTTCTCCGTTTTGCTCTTCGACCCCCACAAGTGTCAAGGGACTTGTCTGAAAGTAACCAATACCAGTAAAAAGAAAAATTAATGGAAGTATGAAGGTAGTTTTGTGCCTACCCAAAAAAGGGGTTAAATATGTGTAGAAAATAATATATATATTTCCTGAGCTTTCTTATATCTCCTAGATATAGGACAAACACTTCAAAACCTTGTTTCTAATTACTTATTTTTTGACTGTCCTTTTTTCCATTCATTAATGTTATTCAATGCGTTTCTCTGGGCTACAGTAGTAGGCCAAATTCAATATTTTATCGAATAATTTATTTGATTTGTGTGCTAGATGTTTATGTTTCTTAGCCACACACATAGAAATAGAAAGTCATAGCAATAGAAAGTTTAATGAAAACTTGGTTTAATAATTTATTCATTCAAGATTATACAGGCTTTGCAACAGTTACATCTAGCACACACAATGATCAATGTTATAGATAGACAGGTCACACGTAAGATCATAGTCCAGATATATGCATTTAGTCAAAACAATCACACAAACAACTTAAAAAATTGTGATATTCACGTTTGTGCTTTACATCAAGTAAATATACCAATTATCACTCAATCGATCAATGACATTCTGGTTAGAGTGGATTTAGATATGGCCTTAACCCTTTCATAATCATTGCACAACACCTTACACATTTAAAGTACATATTATTTGTTTGCCCCTAACTTGAAGTTTATGATAGTCAGTCAAAGATATTAAAGCTGAGATCTCCAAAAGGTGAAACAGTGTGATGTTATAGGCATATTTGTTATTGTTTTGATTTTGAAACAGAGGATATGAGCATCCAGCATCGTGGTAAAAAAAAATGGTAGTACATACTCTGCTGTTCCATCACGCCTGCATTACAGAAGAGACTGGTGGGAGGAGCTGTAGGAGGACGGGCTTATTGTAATGGCTGAAATTAAATAAATGGAACAGTATCAAACATATGGAAACCACATGCTTGACTCCGTTCCATTTATTCCATTCCAGCCATTACAATGAGCCCATCCTCTTATAGCTCCTCCCACCGGCCTCCTCTGCCATGCAATGATGTCTGAGGGAAAAAAAACAGTGTTCATTGTTTGAAGTAACTTCTTTGTTGTTGTAATAGAGCAAACAAACGTTTCACCGCTAAGGAGTCCAGCTTTAACGTTATAACAATTTTCACACACACATTCAAACATTACAGTATGTGTACACGGTGACAACCACAAGTCCCCTGCTTTTTTTCAGTCTCTTAAAACATTGTACACTAATATCACATAAATGTTATATTTCCTTTTGATATATTTACAATATCTTACAGTTTTCAACACAACCAATAAATAGGCTGAACTTTTATAGAGATTGGACACAAATTAAAGTCTGATGTTGTGTTCTCCTTACACCATGTCAGTCCCATCAGAGTTTGAACAGTGAGAGGTGTGTGAGCTGCTGTGGCTGCTTCAGAGTAAAGACATTGAAAACAAACGTCCTGTGTGTGTCCATTGGCCTGGCTCTGTGACTGGTCAGTCCTCTCTGCTGATGTCACTTGTATTCCCTGGCGACGCGGACTGGAGCAGTAGTCAGAGAGAAAGGCCTGGAGGAGAGTAGCTCCGTGACAACCCAGATACAGCTCACCTCACAGTTCTTGATCAAGACGCTAACCCAGCCCAAAGTTTCACACAGGGTCTCTCCAGCAGTAGTCCAAGGGCAGGGGTCAAAAGTAACAGGGCAGTCCTCCAAAGGCCTGAGTGTGCAGTGACTGTTGGACGAAAGATGTACATCGGGCCCTAGAGAGAGATTTAACTGTTTACCTAAGTTCAAGAGAACATTATAACCAAAATTATGCTATGAGTTAAGCCTATCTTTAAGTGCTCTAAATATCACAAATCAAGGAAATGATCACAGCAGATTATCAATTGAAGGAATACTGAACACTTGTAATACACATGTAATTGCAAACAGCCACACTGTTATCAGTAGAGGTTTAATAAAATGAACTACTTACCTGGAGACATGGGTTCTGTGTGTCTTAGAGCTAGGTTAGCATTAGACTTTAACAGTTGCACTGATCTCTGCCCTGTGCTGAGCCAGCCTGTGGCGACTGGCGAAGCTGCCTCACCGTTGTGTCACCATACTGGATCCCTGAGCCCATCCGCTCCGGGTCTAACTCACCTACAGACAAGACACATCCACATATTAAACACATGAGAAAACTCATTCATAGATATACAGTACAGTTCACAGTTCAGTACAGTTCACACACAGTTAGCACTTTAGGTCATGTGAATGCATGCAAATCCCTAGTGCACAACATGGCTCCTCATGCAGCTATTAGTAATAAGTGAGTGTAAGTGTGTGTGTTATTACCTGACTCTATCTTGTTGAGGATGGTGCGACCACATTTAAGGAAGGCCTCCTCCACGTTCTCTCCGGTGAGGGCACTCGTCTCCAGGAACATCAGTTCTGTTTTTATAACAACAGAGAAACAACATGGATACAAGGACCAATCTCCATTATCTACAGTTGAAGTCGGAAGTTTGCATACAGTTAGGTTGGAGTCATTAAAACTTGTTTTTCAACCACTCCACAAATTTATTTTTAACAAACTATAGTTTTGGCAAGTCGGTTAGGACATCTACTTTGTGCATGACACAAGTAATTTTTCCAACAATTGTTTACAGACAGATTATTTCACTTATAATTCACTGTATCACAATTCCACTGGGTCAGAAGTTTACATACACTAAGTTGACTGTGCCTTTAAACAGCATGGAAAATTCCAGAAAATGATGTCATGGCTTTAGAAGCATCTGATAGGCTAATTGACATAATTTGAGTCAATTGGAGGTGTACCTGTGGATGTATTTCAAGGCCTACCTTCAAACTCAGTGCGTCTTTGCTTGACATCATGGGAAAATCAAAAGAAATCAGCCGACCTTAGAAACAAAAATTGTAGACCTCCACAAGTCTGGTTCATCCTTGGGAGCAATTTCCAAACGCCTGAAGGTACCACGTTCATCTGTACAAACAATAGTACGCAAGTATAAACACCATGGGACCACGCAGCCGTCATACCGCTCAGGAAGGAGATGCGTTCTGTCTCCTAGAGATGAACGTACTTTGGTGCGAAAAGTGCAAATCAATCCCAGAACAGCAGCAAAGGACCTTGTGAAGATGCTGGAGGAAACAGGTACAAAATATCTATATCCACAGTAAAACGAGTCCTATATCGACATAACCTGAAAGGCCGCTCAGCAAGGAAGAAGCCACTGCTCCAAAACCGCCATAAAAACCCCAGACTACGGTTTGCAACTGCACATGGCGACAAAGATCGTACTTTTTGGAGAAATGTCCTCTGGTCTGATGAAACAAAAATAGAACTGTTTGGCCAAAATGACCATCATTATGTTTGGAGGAAAAAGGGGAAGGCTTGCAAGCCGAAGAACACCATCCCAACCATGAAGCACGGGGGTGGCAGCATCATGGTGTGGGGGTGCTTTGCTGCAGGAGGGACTGGTGCACTTCACAAAGTGGTCCTCTGTAGCTCAATTGGTAGAGCATGGCGCTTGTAATGCCAGGGTAGTGGGTTCGATCCCTGGGACCACCCATAGGTAAAAATTTATGCACACATGACTGTAAGTCGCTTTGGATAAAAGCGTCTGCTAAATGGCATATTATTATATATTATAAAATAGATGGTTTCATGAGGAAGGAAAATTATGTGGATATATTGAAGCAACATCTCAAGACATCAGTCAGGAAGTGAAAGCTTGGTCGCAAATGGGTCTTCCAAATGGACAATGAAAAATAACTGAAAAAGCGTGTGCGAGCAAGGAGGCCTACAAACCTTGACTCAGTTACACCAGCTCTGTCAGGAGGAATGGGCCAAAATTCAACCAACTTATTGTGGGAAGCTTGTGGAAGGCTACCCGAAACGTTTGACCCAAGTTAAACAATTTAAAGGCAATGTTACCAAATACTAATTGAGTGTATGTAAACTTCTGACCCACTGGGAATGTGAAAGAAATAAAAGCTGAAATAAATCATTCTCTCTACTATTATTGTGACATTTCACATTCTTAAAATAAAGTGGTGATCCTAACTAAACTAAGACAGGGAATTTTTACTAGGATTAAATGTCAGGAATTGTGAAAAACTGAGTTTAAATGTATTTGGCTAAGGTGTATGTAAACTTCCGACTTCAACTGTATAGTCACAAACATCACCGTCTTTATAGTCACAAACATCACCATCTTTATAGTCACAAACATCACCGTCTTTATAGTCACAAACATCACCCGTCTTTATAGTCACAAACATCACCATCTTTATAGTCACAAACATCACCCGTCTTTATAGTCACAAACATCACCATCTTTATAGTCACAAACATCACCGTCTTTATAGTCACAAACATCACTGTCTTTATAGTCACAAACATCAACCATATTTCAATCACAATGCAGGGTCAAATCAAATCAAATCAAATTTGTCACATGCGCCGAATACAACAGGTGTAGACTTTACCGTGAAGTGCTTACTTACGAGCCCTTTCCCAACATTGCAAAATTAAAAACTAATAAAATGTGCTAATAAAATTTGAAAAAAGTAACACAATAAATAGCAATAACGATGCTATATACAAGGAGTACTGGTACCGAGTCAATGTGCAGGGGTACGAGGTAGTTGAGGTAGGGGTAAAAGGGACTAGGCAATCAGGATAGATAATAGACAGAGTAGCAGCAGCAGCGTATGTGGAGAGTGTGAAAGTGTGTGTGTGTGTGTGGCGTCAATATGCATGTGTGTGTTTTGTGTGAGTTTATGTAGTGTGTGCGTGGAGTCCAATGAGTGTGCGTAGAGTCAGTGTAAGAGAGTCAGTGCAAAAAAGGGTCATTGCAATTGTCTGGGTAGACATTTTATTAACTATTCAGCAGTCTTATGGCTTGGGGGTAGAAGCTGTTCAGATGCCTTTTGGTCCCATACTTATATAGACATCAGGCTACATTATCACTATGCAGGGTCATTAGGCTACATTACCGTTCTCCTGGGCGAAGCGGGCCGCCTCGAGGAAGGTGACCTCTCTGTCAGCCTCCAGGTCCTTCTTGTTCCCACACAGGATGATGACGATGTTTGGACTGGCCAGCGTTCGAGCGTCTGTCAACCAGTTGGTCAGGGCATTGTACGTTTCCCGACTTGGTTACACAGACACAAAGACAGACAGATAGACACAGAGGTATAATCATGTTTAAAATTCAGTGGATCCACTGACGTGGCTGCAATGGAATAAAGTGATGTCATGAATTGTTACTTGTTGATTTGGAATTGGTCTAAATCAGGGTCTTACCTGGTGATGTCATAAACCAGGAGAGCCCCTGCTGCCCCTCTGTAATAACTGCGAGTCACTGACCTGGAAGCAGGGGGGAAAATGTTGCTTAGAACATCCACAAATACTATCTCATGATCTAATTCCAGTCATTTGAAGATCTCTCAAATGTCCCCCTGCAACAACCTCTCTCCGATCAAATGATAAAATGAACATCCTGCTGAGATAACATCAGACAGTCATGCACAGATAACATGCTTCCTGTTAATGTGCAGTAGAGCTACCTACCGGAATCGCTCCTGTCCAGCTGTGTCCCAAATCTGCAACTTGACCGTCTTACCGGCGACCATCACCACCCGGGAGCCAAACTCCACCCCAATGGTGTGGCTGGAGTCCTGCTTGACTACATGGGACAGAACAGACAACACAGTACAGTAGACACCGTGGTTATCCAAAAACCTGGTAGTGAATACCATTACAGTACCCTACTTTAACATTACAGTACCATCTCTGTGGGGGCAGTGATCTTTAAGACATGCCCTCTTTCTGGAAGTTCAATATTAATTAATTAATATTAATATGCCATTTAGCAGACGCTTTTATCCAAAGCGACTTACAGTCGTGCGTGCATACATTTTTTTTTTTTTTTGTGTATGGGTGGTCCCGGGGATCGAACCCACTACCTTGGCGTTACAAGCGCCGTGCTCTACCAGCTGAGCTACAGAGGACCAATATAATCACTATGATAACAATTTGACTTACACTTGTTTTCTATAAATTGATGGAGAACACAGGATTTCCCTGATCCTGCACTTCCAATCACCAAGAATTTAAAAAGGAAATCTGGAAAAGAATAATGGAGAAAAAAATCAATAATACATTTACTACATCACACGACTACAGACTGACCACAAGGCGGAAGCCAAGAGCAGGGTGTTGTTGAAAGCCACTAGCTATGTCATTTTCACACAAATTAAACAGAAGCAATGGTTAGGGTTCCTGACGACGACTGATAAAGATTTAGAAAACTAGATGTTGTAAGTAATGGTTGCCAGCTTGCTATAAGCGGCTATCTAGCTTGCAAGCTTCATCTTGTTTCTTGTCCCAGACGAAAGAACGGACATGAAGGTTAGGGGATAGTGAAGCCAGCGATTGCTTTGCTTACCATACGTTTCTGTCATTTCCTTTGATGGCTTCAAGCTCTTCAAGTGCTGCAATGTCAAGTACTAACTATTTGCTTATCAAATATGAAGACTATATTTCACAAATTGGCATAAATCCCGTTTAATCAGAAGGACTAATCTCTTTTACCATCCAAGACAGGCATAGGGTTGACAGGACGTGATGACGACAATTGCAACGCTCTAGCTACGTAAGATGATTTGTTTACAGAGGTTGTCACTAGTTACCACAGCCACAAAGTCAAAATTGTCTATCGTTAAAATTAATGAAAACAAAAATTAGCTTTTTGTTATTTATTTAAGGTTAGGGTTTGGCATAAGGTTAGCAATGTGGTGAAGGGTAGGTTTAAAATCAGATTTTAAGAACATTAATTGTAGAAATAGGCGGGGTTTATGACTTTGTGGCCGTACTAAATAGTGACGACCGTTTACAGAGAAGTGTCAAGATAACTGTGGCGCATCATCTTGGACATAGCCTCTGTTGCCTGTAGCTGTTTGTTCTATATAATCATAGAATGTTGTAGAATTATTTCATTTGATGAATAATTAAACTATATAGACTAATGTGTTTGTGTGTGTGTGTGTGTGTGTGTCGTCTGTCTGTCATCTTCCTTTGACAGTGACATACTGAGATGCAGTGGCGGCTCCTGAAAAAATTCTCAGGAGGGGCAATTTTTCTGATGATTTAGGTGACCTACACACATTTTAAAAAAGATATGTCCAGCAACAACATGAAGACAGGGGCAGCATATAAGTCAATACCAGAAGCATTTATTGACTGATCTGGGGAGATGGATTCCAGTTTCTGTGACAGATTATAAATAATCTCTGATGCCTTTGTTATATTAGCTTTTGGTTGAATGTACTGTCGTAGTAAATATATAATGTTATAGCTTGGTCTGACTAAAATCTTGTGCATGACCCATTTTGTGTTGGGCGTTTGTTTTCAATCAATGCTGTTCCTATCCTATAACAATGGACAAAAGAGTCCTATCTTGTCAGCCTTGTCAGCAGGTGGCCAAGGACAACACCCACGCCATAGGTCTCTCAGTTCTTCCAACTCACGAGTTCTTGCTCTGAGGACACACACACACACACACACACACACACATCATCATCACTGATAACACACACACACACACACACATCATCACTGTTAAACACACACACACACACACACACAAAAATCCCCTCTCTTTAGGCTGAACATTTGAAGACAGAGAACCCGACTCAGAGCCAATGCAACAGTGGAGGGGACCTCGCCCAACTCATCAGGACCAATCAGAAGATCAGAACTACTAGATTCAACCTACATCATTTATTGTATAAAATGTCTGCACACAATGTTTTCGGGGCTCTCTTCAGATAGCTCCCTAAGAGTTTGACGAACGAGTCCGTGCACACGATTCCAGATATCTTTACCTCTGAATAAACTGCCTTTATTATACCATATCCACCCTGTCCAAAGTCTCTACTTGGTCTCAGTTCTCCAGTAAACTTGTGATTATCAACAGTACACAACGGTAACAAACAATTGGGGGAACTCACGGGGCAGATAGTAAGGTCGCAGTGACACAGAAAGCAGTTCAATGTCGGGGGTACAGAGTCGCTCTCTTACCAGGATCGCGGTCCGCTCTGACCAGGGTGAAGCCGGCCGGCTCCACTTCTCTGTCCGGGACTCTGTCATCCAGCCAAGTCTCCCAGCTGTATTGGATTCCGCTGCCAGCAGCGTTTTCATTATTTAGTCCGTTCGTAGCGGGTATGTACACGATCAACAAGATCAGTCCAAAACCCACCACTGGAAATCCATGGTTGGCAGAATGTTTGTAAACTAAGTCTACAAATTAAAAACATAAAATAACGCCACTAAGTGTACAAATTAAAAACATAAGATAACGCCACACTGCAGGTCGCAACAGAGACGCTGCTAGCCGCTATTTTCTTAGTTACGTTCATGGTTACGTCACGTATGACGAAAGCGCGTAAGTGCAAGCCCACAGACACCCATAGAGAATGTATTGAAAGCTTTGAAATTTGAAAAAAATAGATTTTACATGACAGGCTATGAGAGACTTCTGGGCGATTTTCAACCTGACTGAAATCGCCCCAAAAACGGGCGGGGCCATTTGAAGCACGACTTTAGCCTGATTTGACATTTAGTGGCAGTCAGATCAGATTACAACACTGATAACTACTGTTGCCGTGATATAATTGATTAGAAAAAAAATCCCTTCCTTTTCCCGTTTGGCAGTGCGTCGCCCATATCGCCCTATTGAACAGGCCGTCCCTGCTGAGATGTCAAAAAATATGAATTAATAGGAGCCTTTTAGAAATTGTCAAACATTTATTCAAAATGTATTCAACAATTTAAACAAAAATCAAGAAAAGGTTAACCACTTTTTAGTAAGTACCCATTCACCTATTCTCACACTTACTTTGAGTAAGTACCCATTCTCACACTTTGAGTGTACTCTCAAAGTAAATGACAATATACTATAGGGAATGTGGTTAGATAGCCAGTATTCACCTTGTGTTGTCTTAAGATGGCAAGTGTTATGTGGTATAAAAAAAAAAAACTTGACTCATGACAAGGCAAGCTAGTTGTCTTTTAGATTTAAATGAAAATTCCCTGCCGTATAAAAATGCAGGTTGACGTTTATTGTCATGAGTCTTGACCTGGAGGCATAACTGAGCGATTTCCTCTTGGATAGGCCAGCTGTAAAGTCATAATTGGATATAATTCATTGTAAAAAAATAATGAAAACTAAAATTAGTGTTAGGCATTAGGGTTAGCAGTGTGGTTAAGGTTAGGGTTAGGTATAAAATCAGATTTTATGACTTTGTGGCTGTCAGCTAGTGCCTCTAGAACAATATTCATGACGAAAAAGTATGCATTTGTCTGTAAACATCTTCAGTAGGCCTATATGTACCAAGACCAAACACTCGATCTGAAATCTTGCTTCCATTCACAGACACCACAATGGGGAAATGGAAATATAAAAACACCAGTAGCCTCCCAAAGAACCCCCCCCTTTCCCGTAGATCCTCCTTTCTCTTTCTCATCACTTTGACTTGTGTTTGTGTTTTGGGGCCGGGGTGGGAGTGGGGGTTGTGGCAGGTGTAGTTGCAGGAGAGGGTCTCAGTTTACTGTACAACATCTTAAACCTGCGAAGACAAAAGGCAGAATTTAAAAACGGGGAAGTCAGTGTTTTTTACACTGCGTCAAAAATGACATACAGTGGGGAAAAAAAGTATTTAGTCAGCCACCAATTGTGCAAGTTCTTCCACTTAAAAAGATGAGAGAGGCCTGTAATTTTCATCATAGCTACACGTCAACTATGACAGACAAATTGAGAAAACAAAATCCAGAAAATCACATTGTAGGATTTTTTATGAATTTATTTGCAAATTATGGTGGAAAATAAGTATTTGGTCACCTACAAACAAGCAAGATTTCTGGCTCTCACAGACCTGTAACTTCTTCTTTAAGAGGCTCCTCTGTCCTCCACTCGTTACCTGTATTAATGGCACCTGTTTGAACTTGTTATCAGTATAAAAGACACCTGTCCACAACCTCAAACAGTCACACTCCAAACTCCACTATGGCCAAGACCAAAGAGCTGTCAAAGGACACCAGAAACAAAATTGTAGACCTGCACCAGGCTGGGAAGACTGAATCTGCAATAGGTAAGCAGCTTGGTTTGAAGAAATCAACTGTGGGAGCAATTATTAGGAAATGGAAGACATACAAGACCACTGATAATCTCCCTCGATCTGGGGCTCCACGCAAGATCTCACCCCGTGGGGTCAAAATGATCACAAGAACGGTGAGCAAAAATCCCAGAACCACACGGGGGGTCCTAGTGAATGACCTGCAGAGAGCTGGGACCAAAGTAACAAAGCCTACCATCAGTAACACACTACGCCGCCAGGGACTCAAATCCTGCAGTGCCAGACGTGTCCCCCTGCTTAAGCCAGTACATGTCCAGGCCAGTCTGAAGTTTGCTAGAGTGCATTTGGATGATCCAGAAGAGGATTGGGAGAATGTCATATGGTCAGATGAAACCAAAATATAACTTTTTGGTAAAAACTCAACTCGTCGTGTTTGGAGGACAAAGAATGCTGAGTTGCATCCAAAGAACACCATACCTACTGTGAAGCATGGGGGTGGAAACATCATGCTTTGGGGCTGTTTTTCTGCAAAGGGACCAGGACGACTGATTCGTGTAAAGAAAATAATGAATGGGGCCATGTATCGTGAGATTTTGAGTGAAAACCTCCTTCCATCAGCAAGGGCATTGAAGATGAAACGTGGCTGGGTCTTTCAGCATAACAATGATCCCAAACACACTGCCCGGGCAACGAAGGAGTGGCTTCGTAAGAAGCATTTCAAGGTCCTGGAGTGGCCTAGCCAGTCTCCAGATCTCAACCCCATAGAAAATCTTTGGAGGGAGTTGAAAGTCCGTGTTGCCCATCCACAGACCCAAAACATCACTGCTCTAGAGGAGATCTGCATGGAGGAATGGGCCAAAATACCAGCAACAGTGTGTGAAAACCTTGTGAAGACTTACAGAAAACGTTTGACCTGTGTCATTGCCAACAAAGGGTATATAACAAAGTATTGAGAAACTTTTGTTATTGACCAAATACTTATTTTCCACCATAATTTGCAAATAAATTCATTAAAAATCCTACAATGTGATTTTCTGGATTTTCTTTTCTCATTTTGTCTGTCATAGTTGACGTGTACCTATGATGAAAATGACAGGCCTCTCTCATCTTTTTAAGTGGGAGAACTTGCACAATTGGTGGCTGACTAAATACTTTTTTTTCCCACTGTACATGAAGAGATAATGTGGTTAGCATAGTTGTTGGGTTGCATAGTTGTTGGGTTGTTGTCACATTAATTTTCAAGAACAGAATATTAAATGTCCCTGTAGGGTTTAGTGATAAAAGTAGCCATGAAAAATGAGAACAGCCATATCAGTCATTTCAACAGGCTTGTGCAGCACTTACATGTTTTTGATTTTCCTCAGGAGGCCACTGACCACTTTGCTAATCCTCTTCATTCGCCCCTGTCATCCAAACACGTGTAGATTAGACACAGTCCTTTGGTTGCTGCTGTTATGTGGATTACATTATAATAATCTCTACAACAAATAGAGTCTGAACAGCAGGAGCTCGCTGCCTCACCTGCATTTGTTTGTAGAATAGAGGAAGAGAGAAAACACACATGACACCTGCGAAAGAGACGGAGAAGGAAATGTTCACATTATTATTTACAGATAGCTTTATGGACAGATCAGAGCAGTTGGGGGAGTTTCGAGTATGAATGAAACAGGTGGAGTAATGTGGCTTATTAGGGCATAATTATCAGACGTATGAGGGTGGTGCTGTAAGACAGTGTGGTGTAAGACAGTCCGATAGGCAGGTGTTGCGTGGATCAGCAGGGTCTCACCAACTATCACCAGGGTCAGGCCATTGGTTGTGATGCCCATATAGGTCAACACATACAGCAGCACCACAAACTGAGAACAGAGGAACAGCTTTTTAGATTGGCATCGTTTGGTATCAGTAGTGATAGCATGTGAGCTTATGAAGCAATGATTATGTTTTGTTTATGTATTGTATAATATTACTGATGTAAGCCCTCAGGAGGACCAGTTATGTTGTCTGACTCAAGTGCTGGTGATTATGTGACTTTGACTTCTAGCTTCCTCCCCAATCCCCACACACATTACAGTATAGTACAGTAATACACTGAGTTTTCAGAGGGACATTGACAGTGGCCCCTGACCTTGATGGAGTCCATGATGCTGTCGATGAAGAGCAGGCGTTTGATCTCTGTGACGGCGAAGGCAATCATTAGCACCACCTTCTCCACCACCAACACGGTCTCCTCATCTGTCAGAGAGCTGTCGTCTCCTATATAAGACCTGGTACCACACACCCACACACCCACACCCACACCCCCACACACACACACACACACACACAAATACATAATCAAACAAATACCTAGTTTCAAGAAGCATGTTCTACCAACAGATGCACAGAGCCATTCACATATGGCTGTTGGTTTATCATACTCCAATGATTACATATAGAGGTTGGAGCAATATGATATGTTTCTCTAAACTACAGCATGGTAACTGCTGTAAACTGTGCTTACTGAAAGGGGTGCACTCCTTCAGGGTTCTTGCGTATCAGCTCTAGAAGTTTGTAGTAGAGGCGTAGGGGGAAGGTGAGACACATGATGGCCATACACAGGTAGGACAGCATGGTGACGGAACTGAGCTGGAACAGGCTGGCCAGGCCTATCACCAGCCCTGTGAACACCAGCCCTGTCTTCCTCACATCCCGCCAGTAGATCAGGTCCATTACTGCAAAGAGACAAAGAGAGGATGGAGTGGGTATAGATCATTCAGTCATTCATTCATTCATTCATTCATTAGTAAGTGGTGGAAGACAATAAGTGAATGGGAGGGAGAGATAGATGAGTCGTAGAGATGAATAAGTGTGGATGTCGGGACTAGTGCTCAGACTGATCTGGGTGAGCGATTTAGGGAGAGCAGTTGAGCTCATCTGATGTCTGGAAGGAAAAGAGCCAGAGGAATTCAAACCGTGCTTAATATAGAGTTGTGTACAGAGATACATGGAAAGAGAAGTAGTCTATCTTAGATGTTTAATGTGTGTTTGTTTTTAACTGGCCTGTCATCATTTGTTGGATGTCAATTCCAGATTGGTGGTAATCTAATTTTGCAGCTGTGGCATGCTTTGGTCAAACAGGTGATAATGCAACATTTACATTTTTTACATTTACAGTCATTTAGCAGATGCTCTTATCCAGAGCGACTTACAGTTAGTGAGTGCATACAAACACATGTACTGTCTTTATGGTTCTGTTCACAACACATGGGCTCATAGAGTGGTGAAGCGACACACACACACTTACACAATGCATTAGAGAGTAGAGAGTTCAAATGCACAGCAGATCTGCAGTGAAGCTGAAATGTCGTTTCGGCAACAGCTGAAACTTCCAGTGAGCTCACTAACACCAGTGTAATTATCTGATTACATCTAACATCCAGGAATGTTTCATAGACAGAGCCATTCCCTCCTACACCCCAACCATTGACCCTAAATACCCAGCAGCTGTGCCCATAATGATTCACCACAATGGCTAAAACAGATTAAATCTCTGAGTCATCACTCCTCACAGGCATATTAGAAGAAAGAGGCTTGCTAAACACCATTCTGTCAGCAACTTGTTTTGTTTTTGTTGTCTATCCCTCTCTCCACCAACTGTAGCTCTCTATCAGAGAACTGATCAGAACTAATCTTAGTAGTAGAGCCCCTGAAGTGGGCATGGGCTCACAGAGGAGTCCCTTCCCCCTCTCACTGGTCCCAAACCAGCTGGAGACCTCAGCCGATACACAGAGGTCAAGTCTACCTAAGACCAAGTCACATATTTACACCACCTTACCTTTGGGGGCCATTTCAGCAGCTGATCGCTGTGCAAACAAGCCACCCCACTCGCTTCCTCTTGCTGCTCGCTGCTCTCCTAGAACCCACTGCACTCCTATGGTCCTCACTAGGATCTTATTTTGGCCCTACCAGCCCCGTCAGCAGTATAGGGCCTTGCTGGCCTAATTTTATCCTGCCAATTGGATACCCACTCTTTGAGGGCACACAGACACACACTCGCACATTCGCGTAACGTGGGGAACCTGAGACGTCAGCATGTTTTTAAGTGCAGACAGTTCCTTGGTCTCCAGAGAGACCCTTGGTTCCTTGGCCTGTCTGTTATACAAAACAAGACCCCTCAGCCAATCAGAGGAACAGGTTTTCAAAGTAGGCCTATCGCTCTATTAGATCACACCAGAGGTCAGTATTTATGTATAGGAGTTACAGGTTGATTGATTTTAGGATTTTAAGAATACATAACCCAGATAATACAAAGCCCTTATGTTACATTCATACACAAAAGCACTCTCATGAAGACACAAAATAAGATTCCCCTTCATCACTACTGTGTATTTTTCTATTACAAAATTACAAATGAAATCATAAATGCTATAACATCATGTGTTTGCACATACAGCCTTGCAAAAGTATTCAGACCCCTTGCATTTCTTCACATTTTATTGTGTTATTTTGTATTTATTTTTTGATAAATAAAACATTCAGAACTAAAATATAGTAGTTGCATAAGTATTCAGCACTTTTGTTTAGGCAAGCCTAAATTAGTTCAGGAATAAAATGTGGCTTAACAAATCACATAATAAGTTACATTTACATTTTAGTCATTTAGCAGACGCTCTTATCCAGAGCGACTTACAGTTAGTGAGTGCATACATTTTCATACTGCCCCCCGTGGGAATCAAACCCACAACCCTGGCGTTGCAAGCGCCATGCTCTACCAACTGAGCTACATGGACTCACTCTGTGTGAAATAATAGAGGGTGACATGATTTTTGAATGACTAACCCTTCTTCTGTCCCCCATGCATACAACATCTGTAAGGTCCCTCAGTCAAGTATTGAATTTCAAGCACAGATTCAACTACAAAGGCTTTTTGAAAGCCTCATAAAGAAGGGCAGTGATTGGAGGATGGGTAACAACAACAAATCAGACATTAAAAATCTATTTAAGCATGGTCAAGTTAATAATTATGCTGTGGATTATGTATTAAACCACCCAGACATCAAAGATACAGTTGGCCTTCTGAACTGAGCTGCAGGACAGGAATGAAACTGCTCAGGGATGTTACCATGAGGTCATTGGTGATTTTAAAACAGCTACAGAGTTCAATGGCTGTGATGGGAGAACATTGAGTTTGGATCAACAACATTGTAGTGACTCCACAATAATGACCTAAATGACAGAGTGAAAAGAAGAATACAAATATACCGAATAAAAATATTCCAAAACATGCATACTAAAGTAATACTGCAAAAAAAAATTACAGCAAAGGAACACACTTTTTGGCCTAAATGCAAAGCCTTATGTTTGGGGAAAATCCAACACAACACATGACTGAGTAACTGCCTCCTTATTTCTTCAGCATGGTGGTGGCTGCATCATGGTATGTGTATGCTTGACATTGGCAAATACTGGGGAGTTTTTCAGGATAAAAATAAACGGGATGGAGCTAAGCACAGGCAAAATCCTAGAGGAAAACCTGCTTCAGTCTGCTTTACACCAGACACTGGGAGAGGAATTCACCTTTTAGCAGGACAATAACCTACAACACAAGGCCAAATCTATACTGGAGTTGCTTACCAGGAAGACAGTGAATGTTCCTGAGTGGCCATTAGTATAATAATTGAGCCATGTTGTGAAGGAGCTGGTCCCAATGCATGAAGTTTTATCTTTACCTTGTCAGCTCAGACAGGACGACATAATAGTGGAGTTTATAAACCATTTTTTTTGTTCCATGGTGACCAAGTTACAGATTTGACTTAAATCTGCTTGAAAATCTATGGCAAGACTTGAAAATTGCTGTCTAGCCATGATCCCCAACATCTTGACAGGGCTTGAAGAATTTTGAAAATAATAATGGGCAAATATTGCGCAGGTGTGCAAAGCTCTTATAGACTTACCCAAGAAGAATCACAGCTGTAATCAATGCCAAAGGTGTTTCTAACATGTATTGACCCAGTGAGATGAATACTTATATTAGAGTTATATTTTTTAAATTCATCTTTAAAAAATATATAATTTTTCTTCCACTTTGACATTACAGAGTATTTTGTGTGTAGAGGGGTCTGAATACTTTTGCAAGGCACTGTGAATCTCACAAATCACAAATAAAAATGTTTTGTTGTGATAACTTGCTGTAGATTTAGGTCAAAGTTAGGAGGAGTGAGAAGAAAGAGAAGGGTTTATATCACCAGCTTAAAAGTCCTCCCCCTAATTATTGCTTAGTACAGACTAATCTAAAATCACTGTAACTAATCAATCAAATCTAGTCTATACCAGGGTTCGGTATTTATTTGCATATGAATTATGAGTATGAATAGTATCAGGCAAGTTCTAAATGAATACTGGCCAAGGCCAGAGCTGTGCGTCATTCACAGATTCAGTTTAAGGCAAAGTAAAACACTACAAATGAACCACCACATGGCTCATAATGGGTTTCAATGGGAGCATCAATGCATAATGTAAATTAGCCTTCTCTCGCTCTCTCTTCCTGTCTCTCTCTCTCTCTCTCTCTCTCTCTCTCTCTCCCTCCCTCCTTCATTCCCTTACTCCCAGTCCCTCCCTCTCTCTCTCCCAGTTCCACCCTCTCACGTGCAGTAGTCTGTGCTGCTGTTACAAAAGGCTGACACTCCTCTAATCCGCAGGCGTAGAAGCTTGATAATCCAGACTCATTAAAGGTCGAGATTAGCAGAGAGCTGGAAGGGAAGGGATGACAAACAGAGGCACAGATAGGAAGACAGGGAGGAAGGGAGAGTGACAGTGCATGCATGACATGGGTGAGCTATGCTGCTCTGGGATTGGTGAACATAAATAGCCAAGCAATCACAGAGGAGGCAGGAAAAATAACAAAGTTAGTGGAACGCTGGAGAAAGAGGGAAGAGCTATGAAAAAGAGATAGAGAAGGTGAAATCAAAGGACTACAGAGGAGAGGCAGAGCTAACAAAGACAGAGAAGGTATAAAAATGTGAGAGAGTGTAGATCAGTGAGATTTCCATAGAGAACAGGAAGAGAGAAGAGAGGACAGAAAGGAAGGACATGGGCAGAGAGGGGGGGGTGAGCAGCCAGAAGCAGCAGCACAGAGAAAATCCATCAGTCAGGCCAAAAGCATCAACCTGGGCAGCCATGCTCTGAGAGGCCTGGTGCAACGGGTCTACACAGGCAACACACGGCAGGGCACAGGCCTTGCCAACGGCCCACTAGCCCACAGGCCCACAGCCACTGAGCACAGTGGGGGAGGAGAGGGAGAGAAGACACCCAGTGCCACACTGTCAGCTGCTGTAGTCATGACGACTGCACGGAAGGGGAGCGTGGAGATGCCTGCATTTGTCCGGCGGCTGGTGAAGGAGACAGAGAAGAGGGTCAGCTCTTTCTTTAAAGGAGGGGGGCGTGGAGGGGCAGAGCACACAGACGGGGAAAGGGAGGAGGTGATCCCCAGCCCCTACCTGGACCATCCTGTCCTGGACAAGCTAACTGAGGAGGGTTACTCCCGCTGGGGCCTGACCTACGCCCTGTGCAGCATGCAGGGCTGGAGGGCAAACATGGAGGACTACCACAACTGTGTGCCTCAGCTGGGCGCAGGGCTGGCAGACTGGAGCTTCTTTGCTGTGTTTGACGGGCACGCGGGAAACCAAGTGGCACAGTACGTCTCGCAACACCTGCTGGATCAGGTCCTAGCTACAGGTGAAGAAAGCTTGACAGACTTATCATGTTACTTACCAGCCTGTTTCATAACTTAGTTTAAAAATATGTTTGATACAAAATAGATGCGTGAACAGATCTTGATACATTGATGACTAATTTGAGAGCAGATATTTATATGCAACATTATGCTCATAGGAGTAAAGCATGTGACTCCTCAAAGATGTATTGAATAGTGTATGTTAGAGAGAGGTTTATACCTGGTAATAACTATAAATGATCACTAAAGTTTAGAAGAATATTACTGGTGATTGCTATTTTATCTTGCCAGTGTTGATGTGGTTATATCAATTATGTAGCAAAACAAATAACACCATTTAAAATTGTACTGCCTGTGTGCACTGTGAACTAAATTCCTGTGTATACTTACTGCTTGTGTACTTACTGCCTATTTATACTTACTGCATGGGTGTACTTACTGTAGTGCCTGTGTGTTCTGTAGGAGGGATTGGGCCAGAGGACCACCCTGATCGGGTGAGAGGGAGCTTCACAGATGGCTTCCTACACACGGACAAACACCTGCTGACTGCAGCCCGCCGCGAGGGCTGGGAGCGGGGTGGCACCACCGTGACCTCCACTCTCATCTCACCACGATACATCTACTTCGCCAACTGTGGAGACTCGCGTGCCATGCTGTGCCAGGCAGGGCAGGTGTGCTTCTCCACTGAGGACCACAAGCCCTACAACCCTCTGGAGAGGGAGCGCATTGAGAGCGCCGGCGGCTCCGTGTCCCTGCAGCGCATCAACGGCTCCTTGGCCGTGTCCCGCGCCCTGGGGGACTTCAGCTACAAGGGGACAGAGAACCGGCCGCCCACCCAGCAGATGGTGTCTCCGGAGCCAGAGGTGTATGTGATGGAGCGGTCACCCGGGGATGAGTTCCTGGTGCTGGCCTGTGACGGGGTGTGGGACACGGTCTCCAACGAGGAGCTATGCGCCTTCATCCACAGTCGGCTGCACGTCTGCACTGACCTTGGAGATGTCTGCTCCCAGGTCATTGACCTCTGCCTCTACAAGGTCAGTACCCATGGTCATAGGTCACCTGTAGATCAGTGCATGTGGACCACATCAGTGACCTTTATAAATAATCCCTACATGTACAGTGGGGAGAACAAGTATTTGATACACTGCCGATTTTGCAGGTTTTCCTACTTACAAAGCATGTAGAGGTCTGTAATTTTTATCATAGGTACACTTCAACTGTGAGAGACGGAATCTAAAACAAAAATCCATAAAATCACATTGTATGATTTTTAAGTAATTAATTTGCATTTTATTGCATGACATAAGTATTTGATCACCTACCAACCATTAAGAATTCCGGCTCTCACAGACCTGTTAGTTTTTCTTTAAGAAGCCCTCCTGTTCTCCACTCATTACCTGTATTAACTGCACCTGTTTGAACTCGTTACCTGTATAAAAGACACCTGTCCACACACTCAATCAAACAGACTCCAACCTCTCCACAATGGCCAAGACCAGAGAGCTGTGTAAGGACATCAGGGATAAAATTGTAGACCTGCACAAGGCTGGGATGGGCTACAGGACAATAGGCAAGCAGCTTGATGAGAAGGCAACAACTGTTGGTGCAATGATTAGAAAATGGAAGAAGTTCAAGATGACGGTCAATCACCCTCGGTCTGGGGCTCCATGCAAGATCTCACCTCGTGGGGCATCAATGATCATGAGGAAGGTGAGGGATCAGCCCAGAACTACACGGCAGGACCTGGTCAATGACCTGAAGAGAGCTGGGACCACAGTCTCAAAGAAAACCATTAGTAACACACTACGCCGTCATGGATTAAAATCCTGCAGCGCATGCAAGGTCCCCCTGCTCAAGCCAGCGCATGTCCAGGCCCGTCTAAAGTTTGCCAATGACCATCTGGATGATCCAGAGGAGGAATGGGAGAAGGTCATGTGGTCTGATGAGACAAAAATAGAGCTTTTTGGTCAAAACTCCACTCGCCGTGTTTGGAGGAAGAAGAAGGATGAGTACAACCTCAAGAACACCATCCCAACCGTGAAGCATGGAGGTGGAAACATCATTTTTTGGGAATGCTTTTCTGCAAAGGGGACAGGACGACTGCACCGTATTGAGGGGAGGATGGATGGGGCCATGTATCTTGGCCAACAACCTCCTTCCCTCAGTAAGAGCATTGAAGATGGGTCGTGGCTGGGTCTTCCAGCATGACAACAACCCGAAACACACAGCCAGGGCAACTAAGGAGTGGCTCCGTAAGAAGCATCTCAAGGTCCTGGAGTGGCCTAGCCAGTCTCCAGACCTGAACCCAATAGAAAATCTTTGGAGGGAGCTGAAAGTCCGTATTGCCCAGCGACAGCCCCGAAACCTGAAGGATCTGGAGAAGGTCTGTATGGAGGAGTGGGCCAAAATCCCTGCTGCAGTGTGTGCAAACCTGGTCAAGACCTACAGGAAACATATGATCTCTGTAATTGCAAAAAAAGGTTTCTGTACCAAATATTAAGTTCTGCTTTTCTGATGTATCAAATACTTATGTCATGCAATAAAATGCAAATGAATTACTTAAAAATCATACAATGTGATTTTCTGGATTTTAGATTCAGTCTCTCACAGTTGAAGTGTACCTATGATAAAAATTACAGACCTCTACATGCTTTGTAAGTAGGAAAACCTGCAAAATCGGCAGTGTATCAAATACTTGTTCTCCCCACTGTACATGTTGAAGCATAAGTGTCTAATTTCGCTGTCAAAATGTGGATGCAACATTTTCTGATCTGGTTAATCATGAGCCACACGGACATGCTGTTAGTTAAACAATATGTGATTATTTTATTTTCTATTACATAATCATAATCCTGTGAAAAAGATTATTGAGTATATACCAGCATTCAAAGAGTACCTTCTGACCTTCCCCAGGTTTAGACAGACAGACCACTGGGACTTGAATGTGTGGTGCCACAAGACCTTTACAAACACATACACACCAGCACACACCCATTAAACACATACTCTGTGTGTACACAGGCTAAATGAGCTGGGCTGGCTTGTGGTTGTATAACAATGTTCTAGCTTAGAGATGCTGCCCAACGACCTGAAAATGTCACAGTTTCTAACCCTCTCACACACTTCACCACACTTCACCTTCGTAGTCAATTCAAGAGTCAGTTCAGTTGTGCATAAAGGAGGAAGTAGGCTATTAATGTTCCTGAAGGGAGACAAAGTGCTTTAGCTTTGCTGTATGGACAGCCAGTGTTAAACAAAGGCTAAGGTTGCCTACAGCATTGGTACATCAGACCCTGCTTTTATTGGCCCACCCAGGTCACGTCAGGGAAGCCACTGCTGCTTGCTCACATCTTACAGACAGACACAGTCACCAACAGCTAACATCAGTCACTGAAAACAGCTACCCGTGGCTAACAAGCAAGCCTAACACACCTACTATCAGTCGAGAATGGGTGACTTCTAGGACAAAGGGGGTCTTATTTTGTAAGGATCAGACGAACACAGAAGAGAAGTGGTCGTAATTGGAGGTCAAAGGTCACTACTTAGCACCTGACCTCAGAGCAGGCGGCTGTTGTAATCCTGCTAGTAGCTTTCTAGTAAGACTTGTTTGGCACTCACCTGATTTGGCACTCGACCAACAACAACATCTACAGCACAGGCGATTTTCACCATTATCATAACGGGGGGAAGGATTCTCCTATCTCACACCCTGTTCAGAGGTCAGCATACATCACTAAGATTCACTAATAACAGTCAACCCTGTTTACAAACGTAAGATGTACTTATGTCAGGTCTGTACTGTACCCTAACATGAGGTCATCTCTGTGCACTGTGGCTGTAGCTACTCACCTTGGTTGGCTTGTTCTCCTCTGCAGGGCAGTCTGGACAATATCAGCATCATCTTGGTCTGCTTCCCTGGTGCCCCCCAGCTCTCAGCAGAAGCACTACACCAGGAGGCAGAGCTCGAAGACCTGCTGGAGTCCAAAGTGGCAGGTGCGGTGATGTGGGGGTCATTGTGTGCATACTTATATTCACCCACTTCAGTTTATCCATGAGTTTACAACATGATTTACACTACTATAGTTAATTGGCACTGAGACAGGGCATTTTAATCATTGTTCTTCCTTCGATAGAGATTTATGAGGAGCTGAGTATCCAGGGGGAGGAGCCTGACCTGCTGTCTGTCCTCACTGTTCTGGCAAACACTGACGTCCCAGGCTTACCACCTGGAGGTGGTCTGCAGAGCAAGTAAGTTCATATGAATGCATGGTGCAAAAAGTTCATTACAGTACAAGAGGTACTAAATAACAAAGTGCAGTAAGGATTATCTGAGTAGAGAAACACTGCTTGTCCTCAAACCTGTTTCCTGTGTGTTGCAGAAGGAACTGTATCATCTCCGCCTATTACGAAAAGAAAGAGGAACACAATCCTACTACACCTAATGTAAGTGTTTTGTATTTATATCAAACTGTCTCAGTTACGATACCAATACTATATAATCTCTGAGTTTGTCAGAATTGATGCACAATCACCTCACAGCAGTCCACATTTTTCTCCAGGGGCTTGGTGGTTCTGAGAAGCTTGTCTAGGCTCTGTCGTTTGGGAAACGTCTCTGGAAGAGAACCAATGCCAAAATAAAAACTGTTTTCATTATGTGGCAATTCAACCAATCACAAAAGGAATTCTGTCTCTCATCCCTCCCGCCAAGCAAAATCCTGATGTAAGAAGTGCAATGCAATTTGTGAAAGCTAAAACTATAGATGTTATATTTATACAATATGGGGAACATTTTATTTTATAGGACATGGTGCTTTCAAACTCAGTGATTCTGGCTCAGCAATATGATCCAGTAGTTGACAAACAATCTGATATATACAGTGGGGGAAAAAAAGTATTTAGTCAGCCACCAATTGTGCAAGTTCTCCCACTTAAAAAGATGAAAGAGGCCTGTAATTTTCATCATAGGTACACGTCAACTATGACAGACAAAATGAGGAAAAAAAATCCAGAAAATCACATTGTAGGATTTTTTATGAATTTATTTGTAAATTATGGTGGAAAATAAGTATTTGGTCAATAACAAAAGTTTCTCAATACTTTGTTATATACCCTTTGTTGGCAATGACACAGGTCAAACGTTTTCTGTAAGTCTTCACAAGGTTTTCACACACTGTTGCTGGTATTTTGGCCCATTCCTCCATGCAGATCTCCTCTAGAGCAGTGATGTTTTGGGGCTGTCGCTGGGCAACACAGACTTTCAACTCCCTCCAAAGATTTTCTATGGGGTTGAGATCTGGAGACTGGCTAGGCCACTCCAGGACCTTGAAATGCTTCTTACGAAGCCACTCCTTCGTTGCCCGGGCGGTGTGTTTGGGATCATTGTCATGCTGAAAGACCCAGCCACGTTTCATCTTCAATGCCCTTGCTGATGGAAGGAGGTTTTCACTCAAAATCTCACGATACATGGCCCCATTCTTTCCTTTACACGGATCAGTCGTCCTGGTCCCTTTGCAGAAAAACAGCCCCAAAGCATGATGTTTCCACACCCATGCTTCACAGTAGGTATGGTGTTCTTTGGATGCAACTCAGCATTTTTTGTCCTCCAAACACGACGAGTTGAGTTTTTACCAAAAAGTTATATTTTGGTTTCATCTGACCATATGACATTCTCCCAATCCTCTTCTGGATCATCCAAATGCACTCTAGCAAACTTCAGACGGGCCTGGACATGTACTGGCTTCAGCAGGGGGACACGTCTGGCACTGCAGGATTTGAGTCCCTGGCGGCGTAGTGTGTTACTGATGGTAGGCTTTGTTACTTTGGTCCCAGCTCTCTGCAGGTCATTCACTAGGTCCCCCCGTGTGGTTCTGGGATTTTTGCTCACCGTTCTTGTGATCATTTTGACCCCACGGGGTGAGATCTTGCGTGGAGCCCCAGATCGAGGGAGATTATCAGTGGTCTTGTATGTCTTCCATTTCCTAATAATTGCTCCCACAGTTGATTTCTTCAAACCAAGCTGCTTACCTATTGCAGATTCAGTCTTCCCAGCCTGGTGCAGGTCTACAATTTTGTTTCTGGTGTCCTTTGACAGCTCTTTGGTCTTGGCCATAGTGGAGTTTGGAGTGTGACTGTTTGAGGTTGTGGACAGGTGTATTTTATACTGATAACAAGTTCAAACAGGTGCCATTAATACAGGTAACGAGTGGAGGACAGAGGAGCCTATTAAAGAAGAAGTTACAGGTCTGTGAGAGCCAGAAATCTTGCTTGTTTGTAGGTGACCAAATACTTATTTTCCACCATAATTTGCAAATAAATTCATTAAAAATCCTACAATGTGATTTTCTGGATTTTCTTTCCTCAGTTTGTCTGTCATAGTTGACGTGTACCTATGATGAAAATTACAGGCCTCTCTCATCTTTTTAAGTGGGAGAACTTGCACAATTGGTGGCTGACTAAATACTTTTTTTCCCCACTGTATTCATCCAATAATATGGATAACAATGTAAAATTCAAAAAACATTTATTTAAACTTCTATGGGTATGGATTTCAGGTTGATGTTTAGTTTTAAGAGTCATCACCTCTCTCTCTATCAGTCCTGTGTTTGGTCTGGTTTGCATGACCTGTACTGTGTTGCCTTACTGACCTTAATGACAGTAGATTTAACATGTTACAGTGATATGACATATGACCAAGACAAACCCAAGAATGGTCAGTAGATTCATGTATTATCAAATGTGATTTAAATGAGTATGTGCTTTACTTACATACTGTTTAGACATTACATGTTATGACTGTTTTCAGCCTGAATAAAGATTATTTGACTAAGAACTTGTTTAGGATTTACCAGAGAGCACTACAACATCCAGTTACATCTCCATCAAGCGGATACTCAACTACGTATTTATTATGAAAAATATTGTTATAGTTAATGTGATTAACTGATATGCAAGACCATTAAATGTTTTAGTGTAATAAATGATTACTGAAGGACGGTAAATCACAGACAACGAAGAGACTTAATTTCATTCATGTCCACTAGGATGAGTTGTCTCTATGTTCAGCACACTTTCTTTTTGAATTTTCTTTTTGAAAAATGTGTAATGAACAGTGGCATTTTTAGCATGTAAATCTTGGTGGGGCAAACTCAACATTATTTTTTTTAATGCATTGCAGCAAAGCCACTTCACAACACTAAACAATACATTATTACACTATAACGGTGACAAACGGTGTCCATAAACTGTCAGGGGCTACATAAAGCTGTCCCAACAGCAGAGCTTTCCTTTCAGCACCATGGAGTGAATCCTTACCACCGCCACACCTGGCTATCAGCGGGGCCTTGTCTGGCAGCAAAACAGTTCATTCAGCCTCATTTACTGCTTTAAAAAAACCATAGCTGACCACAAATGTAGTTACTACTTACTCCTTGTGGATTTGTGTAATTCGATAAAAAACTAACCCTTATGAAAAAAGATTGCAGTCAGAGTGCAGTATAACTGCTGTATGCTGCTAATACTGTGTCCAAAATAACAGTTTTTTTTACTACAGTTATTCTGCAATTACTGCGTCCAAAATACCACAGTTGACTGCACTTTTACTGCAGTTTCAAAACTGCAATCTTTTTTTGTATGAGTTTTGACTTTTGAACCATACACAAACATTATTACATTTATGTTCAGTAAATTCACAATGTTTATTCTTATATCATTAACACTTAGCTCTAAGTATAAGCAAGTGCAAGCAAACGAGCTGCGACGAGGTAGGCCTATTCGTTCAGCACTTTCAAAATGGACACAGACAGAAATTCAGATAGATGTTAATTCAGATAAATTCAGCAAGAATTTGAGGCCTTAACTTTACTCTTCTTTAAGTCACCACACAGAGAGAGAGAGAGACTTGGTTAGACTACCATTTTAAGTATTTCATTAGGCCTATGTGGTCTACAAAGGAAGGAAAATACAATCATGAGGATCCACTTTTATATACAATATACCGACGCAAAGATAGCGCATTGCGCAAACAAAACAACCCTCGCAATATCAACTGGAATTACATGTGTCTATTACTGAACTTTTTGTTTAAAACAAATATTTGAATGGGGAGAGACTGTCACTGGCAAACATGGTTACAGACCCAACAACATTATATAGTATCTCCTCCTTGTCAAGAAAAGCACATGAGCTAATTGTAATACACAAAGTAAGCAAAACAATTAAATAATTCCAACATTGCCTAAAATATTGAATAAGATACTGACCTATATAAGCAATATAACAATTGAGATGTACAAACCATGGCATAAGTGAACGATGAGCATATCAGAGGCAATCCGTCATTTCGATAAGACATTAATGAGCGAGCTAAGATGGACGTAGTCAATATAACTATTTGTTCAGCACTTATGAAATGTACAGTGACAGAATTCAGAACAGAACTTACAGTATTCTCTGTGTACACCAAGTCAGAACCGTAGCATAAATAAAGGGGGCATATAAGCAGACAAAGAAAGCTCTTACAATATTCAATGATGACAGTTTTATAATTGGAATGTGATACAAAACGAGGCAACTGTGTGCTTTAGGACCATGCGGACACCTCCGAGCAGTCGGGTAGGCTGTTTGGAGTGTTTATCCGACTGGATAAAAAATAAATTATTATTATTATATCCCCCCACTTCTAAAACCAAAATTGCGCTCCTAGCTATAGGCTACATGTGCACCACCAAGTCAGACAGTAGGCACATGGGCTACTAACCGCTTACTGCACAACATACACTTAAAATTACTTTCTTAGCTACAGTATACATATCTCCCTGCCATATTACATCATTTATGCAGCAGCATACAAAAAAAATGTGGACACCATTGTTGTGCTGTGCTCACTTGAACAGGAAGGTGGCGCGGCTGTCCTTCTTGTGGGCAAATTTTGTCGTCAAACTTTATCATCAAAGTCTGACATTCTCTGAACTGGGAAATCTCAGACTTCAGTGAGTTCAAGACAACTGGGAACTCGAAAAAAAAAAGAGCTCAGACTGGGAAAATACGTTTTGAACGGTCATCGAACTCGGAATTCCAAGTCGGGAACACGGGCCTCTTTCTAGAGCTCCGACCTGAAGACCACTGACGTCATGATTCGACCTTGTTTTTTCAGAGTTCCCAGTTGTCTTGAAAGCACCGAAGTCTGAGATTTCTCAGTTCCGAGTTTCCAATTGTTTTGAATGCGGCAGACGTCATGCTGGATTGACAGCATGGCCAATGTATTCAACCTTTTCTGGCCCATGGTGTTGCGTGTGAATGTTTATCCTTTTAAACTTGGAAAAGAGACCCGTTCAGACAGATGTTTTAAATCCTTAAACCCAGACTTGGACCACACACCCTCTCCACCGAATAGCAGGCAGGGGAAGCAAAATAGTGATTGCTTTGCAACGCTTGCAGCCACTGATTCCTTCCAAACCACTCATTGTTGAATTTGCGATTTCCGACCTGTTGTGTAATGTTTATGTCCAATGGCCAATGAGCACCGATACATTTTATCTATAATTTCTCTTCATATGACAAGGATTTGCCAATAGATTGTCAACTTTATTCATGATGATGACTGCTTGTCTAGCTTGATAGCTAAGATTTTGAAAGTATGATGTTGACATGATTAGTCCAGTCGAAGCTACGGTAGATATAACGTGATTTGACGTAATTTTATCTGTGCCAATGACCTTGTGCTTTCTTGGATGGGCACTTCTAATGTAAATCTATGGCAGCACCCAAGGGGGCTTGAACTGCCTTGTTCTCCCTGTAGATTCTGCGGTGACGTAGTGTCCCCATGAGTGACAGAACACTGAGCCAATCACGGCGTAGCTAGAGAAGATTACTATCGCCTACACTCTGTATTTTCTGCTGGCTACCCGTCCACCACAGAAAGCACTGAACTAGGCTGAAACACCTGCATTTTGGAGCTGCCTTCCTCAAGAAAGCAAGAATGAGACCATGTTAGTATGCGGCTTTAAATAAATCTGTTTTTACATTGTTTGCAAACTGATATGTGACACGAATTAATGTCAAAATAACAAGCAAAACAGGCTCTGCCCCACCTACCCTGAATGACGGGTCTCCACTGGTAATGAACAATGGTGGAAAAAGTACTCAATTGTAAAAGTAAAGATACCTTAATAGAAAATGACTCAAGTAAAAGTAAAAGTCACCCAGTAAAATGCTATTTGAGTAATCTGGTATTAAATGTACTTAAGTACAGTGGTGGAAAAAGTACTCAATTGTCATACTTGAGTAAAAGTAAAAAGTAAAAGTAAATGTTATACATCAAATTCCTTATATTAAGCAAACCAGACGGCACAATGTTTTTTTAAACGGATAGACAGGGACACACTCCAACACTCAGACATAATTTACAAACGCAGTATTTGTGTATAGTGAGTCCGCAAGATCAGAGGCAGTAGGGATTGATAGGTGCGTGAATTGGACCATAATCATGTCCTTCCTGAGCATAAAAGATGTGACGAGTACTTTTTGGTGTCAGGGAAAATGTATGGGAGTAAAAAGTACATATGTTCTTTAGGAATGTAGTGGAGTAAAAGTAGAAGTTGTAAAAAATATGAATAGTAATGTACAGATACCCCCAAAAACCGACTTAAGTAAAAATACTTTAAAGTATTACTTAAGTAATTTACACCACTGCTAATGAAACACGTTGGTGAGGATAATATGGTACAGGAAAATGGTAAAGAGATAACTATGGATGATCAAGGTCATGCTTGAGGGAAATATTTGCATAGGTATGGGGGAGCCGAACCAGTTAGGTACTGTTAAAATGAACACAGAATATTGGCAAAACGTAACTCACTTCAGACTATTGTGGATGAGATAGTGTCACACTCTCATACCGTTTATTGACATAAATACCTTTCCCAGGGCTAGCCTATATTTGATTAAGATGAAGAGGTTTGTCTTCCCTAATTAACGCAACACAATTAAACTGTGATACATATTCAACAGGTTCTCTAGCAGAGCCCTAGACATTAGGTGACCGAGGATGCAAATACATAATATGGATACATTTCAATGTTCACCGATCCCGGATGCCCCCCCACACAAATCCATTGTATTGTGGAGGAGCTCAGGACACATCTGCAAAGCTCTCATAAATCAGTGGGTCTTCTCAAGAGGCCCTTCACATCTCCGTACTCCACACAAAGCCTGATTGCGTTCAGCACTGTATTTGAGCCAATCACATTTCAAACCCATCTCCAGACAGATGCTGTTTAAATGAAGGGCGTCTGTCCACCGCATCTCCCCACAGAACCAAACGGGAATATTCAAGCAGTGTCTTAATAGGAGATCAGTGATCAATGTTCCCTCAAAGCAATTTCAGGTCTGCTGAGCGCAAACTTCTGTGCAACTTCCGGCTCGCATTTACAGTGAGGTCATACCCGCTTTAATTTACAGTTTTAACAGTGGCCAAGTAGGCTACTGTGGCTATTTGTTCATAATGTTGGGCTACTAGAGTTGCCTACCATCAAAAACAATGGAGTAGATGCAGCACACGCCCATGAGGATGAAGAGACAGTTGCTCAGGCGATAGGCGTCCTGGGCCTCATAGCGCTCCCTCTGGCTGCTCACAAGGTCCCTGAAGCCGATGGTGCTGAAGGCCACAAAGCAGAAGTACAGGGAGTCCACGTAGCTCCAGTCCTCCATGGAGCAGTACAGAGAGGAGGCGCTGCAGGCGATCAGCACAGACGCCACCCCCAGGATCAGCATCACGTAGTAGACAGAGGGCTTCCAGCCCTCCAGACTGTCCTCCTCACTGCGGGGCTCCTCGATCCCAGACACAGGCCCCACCCCCGAGCGCCTCATCCTCTGCTCGTGACACCAGCACATGATGTAGGCTAGCATGGTGATGATCCTCTCCAGGAAGAGCCAATGAAGCCATAGAAGATCAGGAATATCTTACATGGGATGGTTGCTGGGGTGGTCATACCAAAGCCTGGTGGGAAATTGTACAAAAGAGAAGGGTCATTGTGCCAATTGTTTGTCAAATAAGTGGCTTTACATTTGTTCTTACTTAGCACTAGATGTCGAAATGACAAAAGATGTGGAGTGGCTATTGATATAAGTGTTTTCGTTTCATACCATGAATGTAAGAGATCATCATTTCACAGTACTGGGCACTTCCAAATTATGTTGACATGAACTCATGAAGACAGGAGCTGAGAGAAAGAAGGGATGAGATGGAAACATTAACAATGTTCAGTCACGAGTAGTGATCACATAAAAAAAGCTAAAGCCCCAGAAAAGCTAAACGACCTCACATGCCCAGATTCAACTAATTTGACAATTAGTGCCTCGGAGTCTCACCGATCATCAATCTAATCCCCTCCCAGCTTCCTCTTGTCATCCCCATCATCTACTCAATAAATCCTCTACATTATACTGTGTCTCTACATGACAGCAAATAACTTTTGCATCTTAATTACCCTTACTCTGACCCTCACAGAGAGCAGCTGTCCAACTCACCGATGGTGGACACTACCGTGCCGACAAAGTAGAAGGCTCCAGAGAAGTCCCAGCGGGGCCTATGAGCGTCCACTCTGATCCCAGTCCCGTTGGCCTCTTCATACTGGCGCAAAAGCGCGTGCAGGGCTCCCAGGCTTACCTGGTGGCTCAGGGTGAAGTTGTCCAGCTGCTGGTCCCAGAGGAGGCGGGCGCGGAGCTCGGAGGGGTGCTCCAGGGTGGAGAACACAGCCGCCCCACACAGCAGGTAGAGCAGGATGAGCCCTGCCAGCAGGCAGAAGCGGGCGTTGTCCTCATTGAGGGGCGGCCGGGGGCAGCAGTCACCACTCCGTTTACGAGCCATGAGTGCAGCTAGCCCAGCACAGATACACCACCGCACTAACATACAGTGCCTTGCAAAAATATTCAACCCCCTTGGCGTTTTTCATATTTTGTTATATTACAACCTGTAATTTAAATAGATTTTTATTTGGATTTCATGTAATGGACATACACAAAATAGTCCAAATTGGTGAAGTGAAATGAAAATAAAGTACTTGTTTCAAAAAATGCAAAACAATTAATAACGGAAAAGTGGTGCGTGCATATGTATTCACCCCATTTGCTATGAAGCCCCTAAATAAGATCTGGTGCAACCAATTACCTTCAGAAGTCACATAATTAGTTAAATAAAGTTAACCTGTGTGCAATCTAAGTGTCACATGATCTGTCACATTATCTCAGTATATATACACCTGTTCTGAAAGGCCCCAGAGTCTGCAACACCACTAAGCAAGGGGCACCACCAAGCAAGCGGCACCATGAACTCCTGAGTGGCGCAGTGGTCTAAGGCACTGCATCGCAGTGCTAACTGTGCCACTAGAGATCCTGGTTCGTATCCAGGCTCTGTCGCAGCCGGCCGCGACCGGGAGACTCATGGGCGGCGAACAATTGGCCCAGCGTCGTCCAGGGTAGGGGAGGGAATGGCCGGCAGGGATGTAGCTCAGTTGATAGAGCATGGCATTTGCAACGCCAGGGTTGTGGGTTCGATTCCCACGGGGGGCCAGTATAAAAAAATATGTATTCACTAACTGTAAGTCGCTCTGGATAAGAGCGTCTGCTAAATGACGTAAATGTAAAATGAAGACCAAGGAGCTCTCCAAACAGGTTAGGGACAAAGTTGTGGAGAAGTACAGATCAGGGTTGGGTTATAAAAAAATTATCAGAAACTTCCACGGAGCACCATTAAATCCATTATAAAAAAATTGAAAGAATATGGCACCACAACAAACCTGCCAAGAGAGGGCTGCCCACCAAAACTCATGGACCAGGCAAGGAGGGCATTCATCAGAGAGGCAACAAAGAGACCAAAGATAACCCTGAAGGAGCTGCAAAGCTCCACAATGGAGATTGGAGTATCTGTCCATAGGACCACTTTAAGCCGTACACTCCACAGAGCTGGGCTTTACAGAAGAGTGGCCAGAAAAAAGCCATTGCTTTAAGAAAAAAATAAGCAAACACGTTTGGTGTTCTCCAAAAGCCATGTGGGAGACTCCCCAAACATATGGAAGAAGGTACTCTGGTCAGATGAGACTAAAATTGAGCTTTTTGGCCATCAAGGAAAACACTATGTCTGGCGCAAACCCAACACCTCTCATCACCCCGAGAACACCATCCCCACAGTGAAGCATGGTGGTGGCAGCATCATGCTGTGGGGACGTTTTTCATCGGCAGGGACTGGGAAACTGGTCAGAATTGAAGGAATGATGGATGGCGCTAAATACAGGGAAATTCTTGAGGGAGACCTGTTTCAGTCTTCCAGAGATTTGAAACTGGGACAGAGGTTCACCTTCCAGCAGGACAATGACCCTAAGCATACTGCTAAAGCAACACTCGAGTGGTTTAAGGGAAAACATTTAAATGTCTTGGAATGGCCTAGTCAAAGCCCAGACCTCACTCCAATTGAGAATTTGTGGTATGACTTAAAGATTGCTGTACACCAGCGGAACCCATCCAACTTGAAGGAGCTGGAGCAGTTTTGCCTTGAAGAATGGGCAAAAATCCCAGTGGCTAGATGTGCCAAGCTTATAGAGACATACCCCAAGAGATTTGCAGCTGTAATTGCTGCAAAAGGTGGCTCTACAAGGTATTGACTTGGGGGGGGGGGGGGGGGGGGGGGGTGTGAATAGTTATGTATGCTCAAGTTTTCAGTTTTTTTTTTTCTTATTTCTTGTTTGTTTCACAATAACTAATATGTTGCATCTTCAAAGTGGTAGGCACGTTGTGTAAATCAAATGATACAAACCCCCCCAAAATCAATTTTAATTCCAGGTTGTAAGGCAACAAAACAGAAAGAAATGCCAAGGGGGGTGAATACTTTCTGCCTGTCTGAGCCTGCCTTATTAACACCACTCACTACACATACATCACACACACCAAACTACAACACACACACAAACATACAAGCTTAATATACCCTAAAATGCTAAACAAAGTGGGTACCCACACAGAAAACCTATACACACAGCTGCCCCCCGAGGCCAGTGGATGTTGATGGTTGGTCCATTCAGAGCGCTCTCAATGTGGTGTAATGTCTTGAGTGGTCATTCACCTCTATGAGTTCTGAATCTGATGATGTGCCCACTGATAAAAGAGGACTCCTGACTGTCTGGTCACAGTGTATGACTATGAAATCCTGCACTGGTCTGTGAACAAGATACAGGTACTACTGGGTAATTAACTTGGTATTGGCATTGTTTTCAATCAACAAGTAGAAATCCTTTTTCCATCTTCTCTCAAAATGTGTATGTTCATTTACTGACATCTGTCTTGTAAAGTAAAACCATCATGAATCACTAGAGCTCCTTACTTTGTCTGAATATCAAAGAGCATCATTAAAACCTACGCCTCTCATACTTTTTTTTACATGAATTGCTCAGAAGGCTTCTCGATAATTCATATCACATATTATCTGAAATATAAAGAGAAACAAAACATACCTGATTTTTTAGATCTTGATTAATCCGATAATTCCACACTTTATTCAAACAGTTTTTGCCCATCGCCATGGTGAGACTTGATCCGCAGTTTGAGGTACCTGCACAGAGCGTGCTTTTCCGAGGATCTGATGATCAGTGACCATGGAGATGAGAGGGAGTGAGAGAGAGAGCGAGAGAGAGAGCGAGAGCAGATAGAACCCATGTGTGCAAGCATACCTTGATTGGTGTAATCATTTCTAGATTTCAGAAGCTTTTCTATTCAGGTCCTCCAACCTGTAATCAACATTCAATCTAATATTCCCTCTCACTGGGCAGACAGTGACTGATGGTCTTCAATATATTATTGATATGCAAATACTGTATCTTAACTGATTAAAACACTGGATTTGGACTGTAAACTGATTAAAACACAGCAACTTGTTATTCAACAGTTTAATTGTTTTTAGAGAACATTTTGCCTGCAACATCTGACTGCAAATGTGGCATTCAAATACATTAGACCTTCAGAGGTCTTCTGAGGTGGTTCACAGCTCATTGATTAAACTCTTATCAGGCTTCATCAACTGATTAACTGAGTCTAATTTTCAGACAACCAACACATAATTTATTTTCTCCTCTCTCTTTTGTTTCTGTACCAAATGCCTCAGCTACAAGTTGTGCCTCCTCTCTGTTGTAGGTTGTGTGGGAGGGATGGCTTTGTTCTCCCTGACTGCTCTTTTGTGTTTGTCCATCTGCCTTTAATCTTGGATGAGGGCTGAAGGAGGGGCATTGGTCCATGCTATGACACTAGATCACTGAGTGCCCAGGTGCAGAAGAAAGCGGCTGTGCATGAATGAGTGACACCTGCCTTTACACCTATAGTGCTTTCAGAAAGTATTCATACCCCTTGACCTTTTCCACATTCTGTTGTGTTACAGCCTGAATTTAAAATGGATTAAATTGAGATTATCACTGGCATACACACAATACCCCATACTGTCAAAATTAAAAGCTGAAATGTCAATAAGTATTCAACCCCTTTGTTATGGCAAGCCTAAATAAGTTCAGGAGTAAAAATGTGCTTAACAAGTCACATAATAAGTTGCATGGACTCAGTCTGTGTGTAATAATAGTGTTTATTTATTTTATTTTTTTACCCTCTTTTCTCACCAATTTCGTGATATCCAATTGATAGTTACAGTCTTGTCCCATTGCTGCAACTCCCGTACGGACTCGGGAGAGGCAAAGGTCGAGAGCCATGCGTCCTCCGAAACACGACCCTGACAAGCCGCACTGCTTCTTGACACACTGCTTGCTTAACCCGGAAGCCAGCCGCACCAATGTGTCGGAGGAAACACCGTACAACAGGCGACCGAAGTCAGCGTGCATGCGCCCGGCCCGCCACAAGGAGTCACTAGAGCGCGGTGGGACAAGGACATCCCGGCCGGCCAAACCCTCCCCTAACCCGGATGACGCTGGGCCAATTGTGCGCCGGTAATAATAGTGTTTAACATGATTTTTGAATGTCTACCACATCACTGTACCCCACACATACAATTATCTGTAAGGTCCCTCAGTCGAGCAGTGAATTTCAAACACAGATTCAGCCACAAAGACCAGGGAGGTTTTCCAATGCTTCGCAAAGAAGGACACCTGTTGGTAGATGGGTTTAAAAAAAAGCTGTCAATAACCTAAAACACAAGGCCAAATATACACTGGAGTTGCTTACCAAGACAACATTGAATTTTCCTGGGTGGCATAGTTACAGTTTAGACTTAAGTCGACTTGAAAATGTCTGTCAAGCAATGATCAACAACCAACTTGACAGAGCTTGAAGAATTTTTTTAAGAATATTGTGCAAATATTGTACAATCCAGGTGTGCAAAGCTCTTAGAGACTTACCCAAAAAGACAAAAAGCTGCTGCCAAAGGTGATTCTAACATGTATTGACTCAGGGGTGTGAACACTTATGTAATTAAACATTTCTGTATTTATTTTTCAATACATTTGCAAAAATGTCAAAAAACATGTTTTCACATCGTCATTATGGGGTAATGTGTGTAGATGGGTGAGAATTATTATTTTTAATCCATATTGAATTCAGGCTGTAACACAACAAAATGTGGAATAAGTCAAGGGGTATGAATACTTTCTGAAGGCACTGTACAAAATATCCTTCAGCTGACTCTTCTTTTAGTGATTTCAGATCGTATATCAATGTGTCTAGGAAAGCCTATTTTAAGAGCATATCTGCTAGTACAAGTTTAATGCTGTAGTCTTGTGTTCATAAGTTCTATTTGCATCCATTATTTATCCGTCTTAAAATGTTCTTGTATCACTTACCACACTGACACTTTTCATGCTGTTATGCACAGAATGAAACATGGCAATGTCCCTAAATCATACAACTCATTCCTGTTCTTTATCCTGTGTTCAATAATTTGCCAAAAAAAGCATCACAACAGTCTCCCTTTTAATATAAATTCATTACAATAATTAAAATAAGGCAATATGTATCATATTAGACAATATATGAAGACAACATACAACAGATTGACAACAATTAAATCTGCCTTAGATAAGGCTAAAACTACGTTATGAAAACTATATCAAAAACATGGTTTAGATTAATTTAGGTTTGATAACAATCTAAACAGATTATTTGAATTAGATTGACTGGTGGAATTATTGGAACGTTCGCTAAATGTACATTGGTCTGGTCATCTCCTGGTCCATGACATAAAGCTTTTTATCCAGTATTCTTTGTACTGTAGCACAATCTTGCAATATGGTTGTTTGCAATACAGCAATAGGGGGAGAGAGAGAGTGCAGATAGAACCCATGTGTGCAGGCATACCTTGATTGGTGTAATCATTTCTTGATTTTAGAAGCTTTTCTATTCAGATACAGTGGTCAGTCAGAGATAGTGAGCTACAACAAAGAAGCTGTGTGTAAGCTGTGTTGGACTCATAGTAGGGGTGCAGAATCAAGTGCCTGTACTCGAGCAGCAAAAAGCAAAACCTGCTTCTCAACCGCTGCATTGATTTCCTCCTGTGAGGCACGTGGATTCTTCTGCACAAAGTCTGCAATGCTCTGGATACATTCTTTCTGTGGGGACAGAGGTAAAGCAAGCAGGTTAGCAAGTGTCTACCCAGACACATAAACATGAACCACATGAACACTACAGTCAGGGCCGGCTCTATGGGTTGGTAAAGCCAGGCATGGATCCCCCAGATAGAATTTGTGCCCCCCCAGTTTTGTTTCCCCATAAACATAACAAATGGTATATGAAGTACCCTGCCCGGTTTTGCCAATGTAGTGCTGCCAGGCCTGCCAGTTGCACAGACCGGGACAGAGGCTATATGCCGGGTGTACGCTCATGGTCTGAGGAGGGGTGAGGGAGGGGGGATGTAATAATGTCATATTTAGCATTTAAAATCCCAAAATGCATTCTGATTGGGCACCTAGCCATGCAATGTCACAAGGTACCGCCTTTATTGCCTTGTTTAGGAAGCTCATTGGATCCCAGTGCCATTAAAAAAATATATTATTACAGAGAGGCAGCTACAGCTAATAATAGCCTAGATAGCAGCTTCATTCAGTTTTGGTAACGGCGCGCTGAATAATTATAGCTAGTTGGCTAAGCTTTGATCAGCATGGATATCCAAAAATGGCTGGGCACTGCCAAGAGCAAAAAAACTGAGGACCACAATGTCGAGAGTGATGCCAAGCTCACCGACCAGCCTGCAGGCCCGACCACCAAGGTTGAGGAGCCTAGCAGCAAATGCAATAGCCGCCCATCCCCCACACTGCCTGCTGACCAACAAGATCAAGCAGAGCCAGGCCCTAGCACCAGCAGCACGAGGGTAACATCACAACAAGCACCTGCACCTCTATTACCCCAGCCACTGGAACCTGACGACCTGTTGAATCTAGCCCAAACTGAACCAATGGAATCAGAGTTTGTGGCTCGCACATTCTTGCAAAGTGAATTCACAACCACAGCCAGCAACAACAAATGGACCCCACTCAGTGTTCTTCAAAGATACAGCGGGCCTTTGTCAGCAATGCCGACTGTGCTGGTGGCACTGAAACATGATTAACATTTTTGGGGCATCTACAGCAATGTGTGAAAATTCGTTCACCACCCTGAAGAACATATTCATTGAACACAGACTCTGAACACAGAGCATGTTACATCAACGAAAAGTCCAACTTATCCAGCTGGCATTTGAGAGGGACCTCATATAGCTCAAATGAACAGCAAACCTGGTTTCTAAAAACAGATAAAGCAACACCTCACGGCACAACGCCTCTTCCCTATTTGACCTAGATAGTTTGTGTGTATGTATTGATATGTATTGATGTGGTTCTGTCTTTGAGCTGTTCTTGTCTATTAATGTTCTGTATTATGTCATGTTTAATTTTTTGTGTGGACCCCAGGAAGAGTAGCTGCTGCTTTTGCAACAGCTAAATGTGATCCTAATAAAATACCCAAAACACCTGACAAGTAAATTTAGCCTGGAAGGAGAATGAAAATAGAAACTTCTCATGAGGTTCAACACAGCATCGAGGAGGCTGCAACTCTTCTAAATGTTAAGCTGCAACCTCTATGGCCCTGGCTACCGTGCCAGAATTATTTATTCATTGGTTTTCCCTCATGTAAGCCTACTGGTTGTTTGGCAATTCTTTGTATGTAATGTATAGTTTAGGCCTTTGCTTTTTACTTCAATGCATCTTTTAGATGTATCTGTGATTCTTAATGTCATCGATTGCTTTTACGGGTCTAATTGCTATTGATAAATATACAGCTTTGCGTTATTTGATGGGTATAAGGACAATGACCAATGTATCCTAATTGGTTGTGCTATGAGGTGAGCCCTGGCACAGTGCTCCTGTTGTCCTGGCTGTCCACTCCGATGGTGCTGAAATTGGCAGCGCATCTAACTTTATCCTTTCATCGGGCTCTTCAACATCACGTGCTTTCTTGTGTGCAAAATGACATTTGTTGTGTATATGGCTGCATTTCAGATAGGCCTACATTTTTTGTACATTTTGTATGTCGCAGAAATAGGACCAATACCGCGTGTAGCCTACTAAAAGAAGTAGGCATTACACAGTCATTGTGTGATAGGCTACTGTAAAAGTGGCGTCAATACTATGAAAACAACACATAGCCTACTTGTTCACCCCCCTCCCTGCTCTCTTGCTATAGCGTGTGTGTGTGTGTGTGTGTGTGTGTGTGTGTGAGAGAGAGAAACTCTCCCACACAGAAAATATTGCGCACCTGGAGAAGTAGCGGCTTGGTTATGCTTATTGCGTAGTGTCACAAATTCGACAGCAATGTAGCCTATAGTTCTAATTATTGAAGTTTAAGCTATGAAGCATGTAAGAATCTTTGATAGCCTAGTGGTGCTCATTCTGTCAAGCTGATCTGTGTGTGTTGGTATGTGCAAATTATGTGTAGGCCTACGACAGCTATGGCTGCATTTCGGATACTCTTGTATGTCGTAGTGGGGCGCATATCTTTCTTGTATTATTATTTAAAACAAAGGTTTTTGATATGTAGGACCATGGACTTAAAATGCCCGCTCAGGCAAGTCATCCTCGAGCCAGGCCTGACTACAGTATATTTGACAGGTTGTAATTTTAAAATTATAAAACGCGTGTCAACTTCTGCCAAGATTGTTTAGTATGTAGACTGCTCCTATAGACGATAAGAATTGTCTTTCCATTCTGTTTCATCAATTCACCTTAAAAGCGTCCACTTCTCTTTGTCCTGTGAGACGGTTCATGAGCTCTTGTGCCACCTGAATGCCTGTGAAGGCCTTTAGGATCTCCTTGTCTTTTTCGCTGTCTGAATGGAGCCAGCCCAAAAGGGCTAACTGAAAAAAGAGAGGGCAAGTTAGCAACTAAGTACATGTTACAACAACCACATCTATGATCTTACAGGCACCACTCTTCATTCATTTATCAGCCAAACGACAGCCCTGCCCTGCAGTGCCACTTAGTTTTCTATAGCTGAGCTATGGGGCTGGAGAAATAACCACTCTCAAATTCAAAGACGGACCTATGGATGCAAGAACTGACATTCTTTATAAACAACAGAGTAAAACAACCTTGTATTTTGGGATATAATGGCATAAGACAAAATGGTATTTGAAGTACCCTGCCCGGTTTTGCCAATGTAGTGCTGCCGGGGATATCATTAATTCGAATGTCCACATTGAACAGATCAAACAGGCTCTAACCAATAATGTATATGCCTATGACCCTAACCAGAGCCATGTATTAAGATACATCTAAATATATGGCTCTGACTAACCAATCTATCTGCATGACATTATATCTATTAATTTGTTAGCAAGTAAATAAATCCAGGCTTTATCAATCGAAAATGCTGACCTGCTGGAATAACTGCGAATTGGACATTTCACCTGGGCACGATGATCCGCCGGACATCTTTTACGTAAAACAAATATAAAAGCTACTATAACAAGAATTCTGTAGATATGTAATTATCCGATTAAAATGAACAAAAATGTAGTCTCAATCTCAAAAGACTCACAGGCCAAGAACGAACGCCGTGTCTCCACTTCCTGTTTACATTTAACTACATTACTTCGTGTGCTAAGATCTGCTACGCAAATTACCGCCCCCTAGTGGCTATAGCGAGAACCTTACATATTAATATATAATAATAATATAATGGTATATATAAACTGGGTGGTTCGAGCCCTGAATGCTGATTGGCTGACAGCTGTGGAATATTTAGTATTTATTAGGATCCCCATTAGCCGCTGCAAAAGCATCAGCTACTCTTCCTGGGGTCCACATGAAACATTACATAATACATATTACAGAACATTATTAATCAAGGACTGAAATACATACATTTTAAACGTCACACATTGCCTATGTCTCTTCACAGTCCCATTTGTGCAGTAAGGTATTATTTTATCTGTTTTTTTTTACTTGTTTTATTGCTAGCTTGAGTTACCTGGGGGGCAGAGAGTTCCATGTAGTCATGGCTCTATTAAAAAATCTATTTTGGACAGATTTTGGCGAGAGATAACCCTCTCGCTTCGCCTATTCCTCTCTGATAAGGCGTAGGGTCAAGGGGTCCATTTGGGATTGGGCCATTAGCTTTGTCTACTGTCTGGTGCAGACTGGCAATGTCTAAATTACTCAGGCATTTCTAATTTACTGTATATTTCATTAGCATTCAATCAAATCAATCAAATCAAAGTTTATTGGTCGCATACACAGTTTAGAAGATGTTATAGCAGGTGCAGCGAAATGCTTATGTTACTACCTCCTAACAATGCAGTAAAAGTATACAACAATTTTATTTTTATTTTTTTATTATAATACAAATATTAAATGCCATAACTTGACCTCTTGTCACACGTAAGCATTTAATAGTGTTAGCTAGACCTTTTACATAATAGTAAAATATACTTCCTATACTGATGATAAAGTCTTTAATCCAAAACACGTAAATGTAGCTAGATGAAAGTAAGTATTTTACAACAATGACCAGAGCAACTGGTCTGCTCAACCCAACAAACTCACTGGCCAGAGATTGACTTAAACATTTTCAGTGGTGTCCAGCTCTATGACAGAGTACATTGGTGCTGTCATACAGTTCAGATCCATGGCCATCGCTTAGGACAATACTGCACTTACTCAGCTACAGACTGAATGGAGTAGTAATCTGACTAGTGAATGATGAATGTAATACAGTGTATTATCCACATAACTATAGGTAGCTACAACAGAGGGTGTGAAGACGGAAATAGTGTTGGTTATCTCTCTGCCTTAGGTTTGGAGAAAGTTCCTAGTTGCTTTGTGTTCACATCTTTCAGCTGGTCTAGCTGTCTCTGTCCGCGCCGGTAAAGGTATTCTATGTGCATGACATCAGTCTTCTTGATGCTGGAGTTCTCTCGGAACTCATCCCGGATCCTGGGTAGAAAGCCTGGCTTGTCCTGGCCAGCACGCAGGAACTGGCGGTACAGAGACAACACCTGTTTCTGCAGCTTACTGTGGCGTGCCATGGTGTGGAACACAGGGCACCAGCAACACAGATGACCAGGGAGGACGACTGACCTGAGGATTAAGCAGTCTCACCGTTGACTAAGTCACAACTCATGCATCAGTGTGTAGATGAAGTGTCTCCTAAACCTATGGGAGAAAGACATAGTGGCTGGTGAAACAAGGATCTTATCTGGCCATGTTAGTTGTCATTATAAATCTTCTCTTATGGTTATAGCTAGGTGTGTTGCTGAAGATACAACTATAGCTACTGTCCTAAATAATTTATTAGCGTCACGACAATGCCTCTTCACCCTCAGAAGGCTGAAAAGATTTGGCATGGGCCCTCAGATCCTCAAAAAGTTCTACAGCTGCACCATTGAGAGCATCTTGACTGGCTGCATCACCGCTTGGTATGGCAACTGCTTTGCATCCAACCGCAAGGCACTACAGAGTGTAGTGCGTACCGCCCAGTACATCACTGGGGCCAAGCGCTCTGCTATCCAGGATCTCTATACCAGGCAGTGTCAGAGGAAGGCCCTAAAAATGATCAAAGACTCCAGCCACCCAAGTGACTGTTCTCTCTGCTACCGGACAGCAAGCGGTACTGATGCACCAAGTCTGGAACCAACAGGACCCTGATCAGCTTCTACCCCGAGCCATAAGACTGCTAATTAATTAACCAAATAGCTAACGGACAATCTGCATTTACCCTTTTTGCACTAACTCTTGACTCATCACATACGCTACTGCTACTGTTTACTATCTGTCACTTTATTCCTAGTTATATGTACATATCTACCTCAATTACCTCGTATGCCGGTTCCAGGCATAAGCGGTCGCTTAGGGCCCCCAGTAAGAATAATAGAATACACCAGGTGCAATTTCGAAATTTGGTTGTGCATCAGCAGTTTTTCTCTTGTTATGTCAGTCACTGACAGTTACTCAATTAGCCATGTCAGCTAACAACTTTTAGATTGGTAGTTTGTCTAGCCAGCTTTCTAAACTTGTAGTATTCATGGCTGAATACCGACAAGCACGCAGGGCACGTGCCCAGGGGCCCTGACCTCCAGGGGGCCCCCATTAATTTTGTTAGTCATTCTCACTCAGATATCATATTAACATGACATAAGTCATTACAAAATGTGTAGAATTGCAGGAAATTAGCTTTAAAACTGCAAAAATGTCTCCCCACCCCATGGCAAATGAGTAGAATTGCAGAAAACGTGCATTAAAACTGCATCATTTTCTCTACGCCCCATGGCAAAATGTGTAGAATTGCAGGAAATTAACTATAAAAACGTACATTTCTCTCCACCGTCAAGAGGGTGGTTACTATAATGTTTTACCGTGAGGTGGAGTGCCCCCCAACCACATCTTGCTTAGGGCCCCCAAAAGTATTGAGCCGTGCTGCCCTTGTATATAGCCAAGTTATCTTTCATCATTGTGTATCTATTATTACTTTTATTATAATGTGTTTTACTTTTCTATAACTTCTCAATTTTTTTCCTCTCTATGCATTGTTGGGAAGTAAAAACATTTCACTGTTAGTCCACACCTGCTGTTTACGAAGCATGTGACGAATACAATTTGATTTGAATGACAGCCCATGAACCCTATTATCCCTGATGATAAATAAAGTGTGGACAGTACAGCAACAGTATTATATCACTGAGTCACATCAATAAAATCCGAGAACTTCTAGCTTGCTCGCTTTCTGACTGACCTATTCAAACCACAAAGAAGAAAACTTTACAAAACATTTTACATATAGGCTATTACTGAAACACCACAATATGGGTTAAAGTCAATTAGCTAGATAGATAGCATAGCTAGCTAGCTGACTTTACAGGGGTAGATAGAACTGCTAGCTAGCTAGCCAGCCAGCTAACCTACCTTTGGCTTGACAGTCAGTGTCAAGTTCGAAAATAGCTTCGCTGGTCTTTGACAATGAAGTGCGTCTCATATCAACTGTGAACCTTTCATTAATAACCTATTTAGCTACCACTTCAACAGTCTCAGCTAATATTGCTAACACACTACCACAGATGGAACAATGAGACAGATTTTTCACCGGATGTATAAATCTGACGCATCCGGTTGGCGTTTCCACTCACCACCAAATATGGGGAGTGGGAGAAGATTGAGCGAGATGGATTTTGGCCGATATTCCGCAAATTTTCTCATCGATCAATTTGATCTCAATATAGTTTTCTGTTCCAAAACTATAATCTGTTATGAACAGAGTGGCCTAAGTTTTGCTGACTTTACCCTTTGCCAAAGTTTCTAGAAAGGTGCATTGTTTTGGAGTGCAAGAGCGAATTGAATTATTGCACATGCGCACTTCACAGCGTAAGCGTTCCCTAACGGAAATATGCAAATACCAATAGGATCTCGCTAGCTCGTACTTGGCTCGGCCCACTATGATTCATTTGCTTCATTGAAAACGACAGTCTGTGGTCTATCTTGGGTTAGCTTTAAAAAATATTTGACACTAGCTAACACAGCACGACCTTAATGATAACTCATGTTATGTTTATGTTACGAAAGCCAAAGACGACGGTGCTATTGCTTTGGGTATTACACTTCCCTCTATTGGCTTGGATGTCTCACTTCACAATGTTGCTGTCAGCTCAAATCAAATCAAAGTTTATTGGTCACATGCACAAGATACAGGATGTAAATGGTACAGTGAAATGCTTACTTGCAAGCTCTCAGAAACAGTGCAATACACATTTATACAAACAAATACACAGTAAGTGATAAAGTAGTAAAAAATAAGAAAATTCGTAATGTTTGAAAATATATACATATAATAAGAATATACAGAATAGACAATGAAATTTGCTAAAGTGAGTAGGGACATGGTTGAGTAGCATAGATAAATAATTGTGACATGCCTTTCATTATTGTGATGACTATTATTTATCGAATAATTACCTACTATGTTTAATTGTTACTAGATTAATTTAATCATGTAACAATTAACTCATTAGGAATTTGGGGCACCACAGGAAAAGTTGTTTAATGAGTTACCGTTTCCCGAATTAACTAAAGATATCTTGATATCTCTGTTTCAATATGCTTTACATTGTAGTCACGACAGACAAAGATATTTATTTTTATTTTACCTTTATTTAACTAGGCAAGTCAGTTAAGAACAAATTCTTATTTACAATGATGGCCAAACCCGGACGATGCTGGGCCATTTGTGCGCCGCCCTATGGGACTCCCAATCACGGCCGGTTGTGATACAGCCTGGAATCGAACCAGGGGGTCTGTAGTGACGCCTGCACCACAGTTAAGCAAACTTTACTAGGCTTGTTGTCAACCCGCACATTCATACAGTACGTTCCAACTGGTTTCCGTTTCCTGTGTAACATCAATATGAGTAACATCAATATTGCTACATGTTCTTATTTTTATTTATTTTTTAACAACAAAGGCAGACTCCACCTAACTTTGGCTTGTAGTCCATGTCTGCAATAAACTGGAATGTGAACTGAATGTTTGTTTACGGTCTGACTGTCCATTAATTATTATTATTTTTACCTTCCCACAAAGTCTTTCAGGTGTATAGGTATTCAAATGGCCCTACCAGACCTTGTGTGGGGAGTGTTGATTACATCAGGAGGTGC